CATTGAAAGTGGAGGCACTACCAATCTATGAATCATGTCTAGAAGGTAAAATGATTAAGAGGCCTTTTTCCTTAAAGGGTAATAGGGCCAATGATATTTTAGAATTAATTCATTCTGATTTGTGTGGCCTAATGAGTGTCCAAGCTAGGGGTGATTTTGAGTATTTTGTGACTTTCCCAGATGACTACTCAAGGTATGGGTATATTTATCTATTGCATCGTAAGTCTGAATGATTTGAAAAATTCCAAGAATTTAATGCAAAAGCGGCATAGAAAATATATCAAGTAACTAATATCTGATCGTGGTGGCGAATACCTCTCTAGGGCATTCATTGCTTATTTATCAGAACAAGAAATTACTTCACAATTGTCCGTACATCGTATGCTACAACAGAATGGTGTAGCAGAATGGAGAAATAGGATGCTTATGAAAATGGTTAGATGAATGATGAGTTATTCAGATTTGCCACTTTCTTTCTGGGGACATGCAATTGAAACAACAACATATATTCTGAATTCAATTCCTTCTAAGTCAGTACCTTTAACTCCTATAGAATTGCGGACTGGGCATAAGCCTAGTCTAAGAAATGTTAGGATGTGGGTTTGCCCAGTGCATGTGCTAAAAGGGAAAGCGGATAAGTTGGAATCAAAAATAGACTTCTGTTACTTTATTGGATATCCTAGAGGAACGAAAGGTGGTTTGCTTTATAGTGCTACAGGTAAAAAGACCATTGTTAGCACCGGTGCACATTATCTTGAGTAGGATTGTATTCTAAACCATATTCCCAAAAGCCAATTAGCTTTGCAAGAATTGAGAAGGGATACCATACCTATTGGCACATTTCCAAAAGAACATGAACTGAACCATTCACAGTCGGTGCTGACACCATTACCTCGTGGTAGTGAGAGAAATGCCAATACTCAGTTTGATCAACACACAGTTCTAGATTTACCACTACAGCCCCCAAAGTAGGGGGAGTGATGTTGATTTACATACACAACAGGTGGAACCCATTGACATTTATTACCTATTGGTATTGAAGAAAATGTTGATGAGGCTCCAGAACCTAACCAGAATTCTGTTGCACCAGTCATAGATCTCCCGACTTTACAGCCAGAGCAAGATAGCGGTGTAGCTGATTTGCTAGTCCCTTGTCGTACTGGGAGAATTAGATGACCACCGGTTCGGTTCGATTAACACTTCAGGGAGAAGCTTTTGATAGGGTCCATTAAGAAGTGAGTATCGAATCAGTATGTTACAACGATGCACTACAAGATAAAGATGCTGATAAGTGGCTTGTAGCTATGAAATCTGAGATGGAGTCCATATACTCTAATCAAGTCTGGGAACTTGTAGAACCTCCTGAAGGGATTAAACCCATCAGATGTAAGTGGATCTATAAGAAAATGAGGGGTGTAGACAGTAAAATGCAAACTTATAAGGTAATGCTTGTTGCGAAAGGGTAGACTCAGAAAGAAGGGGTCGATTATGAGGAAATCTTTTCACCGGTAGCAATGCTTAAGTTTATTAGGGCTCTTTTATCCATTGCAGCTCATTTTGGCTATGAAATTTGGCAAATGGATGTCAAGACAACTTTCCTAAATGGAAGTCTTGATGAATGCATATATATGAAGCAGCCGGAGGGTTTCATATCTAATGGCCAGGAAAATTTACTTTGTAAATTGAATAGGTCTATTTATGGACTTAAACAGACATCTAGGTCTTGGAATACTTGTCTTGACCAGTCGATCAAAAGCTTTGGTTTTGAGCAGTGTCAAGATGAGTTTTGTGTGTATAAGAAATGAAATGGTAAGAAGGTTGCGTTTCTAGTGTTATATGTGGATGATATTTTGCTTATAGGAAACTCTGTAGGTATGTTGACTTCTGTCAAAGATTGGCTGTCCAAGTGATTTGATATGAAGGATTTGGGAGAAGCTTCTCATATTCTTAGGATCAAGCTTATACGAGATCACAAGGAGAGAATAATTGGCTTATCTCAAGCACTTGATATTGATACCATTCTTACTCGTTTCAACATTCAAGATTCCAAGAAGGGTTTTATGCCTTTTAGATATAGAATCACTCTATCTAAGGATCAGTGTCCTAAGACTCTTGAAGAGATAGAGAGCATGAAGGCAATTCCTTATGCTTCAGTAGTAGGAAGTCTTATTTATATAGTGTTGTGCATTAGACCTGATATCTACTTTTGTTGGCATGGTTAGCAGATTTCATTCTAACCCTAGGCGAGAACATTAGACTGCACTCAAACATATAATCAAGTACTTAAAAAGGACTAGAGATTATATATTGGTCTACTAGTCAGAAAATCTTGTACTCGTTGGGTATACAGATTCAGACTTTCAATCTGATAGGGATTCTCGGAAATCTACCTCAGGAAATGTGTTTGTCCTAGGAGGTGGAGCCATAAGTTGGAGGAGTATTAAGCAAACTTATATTGCAGACTTCGCCATGGAAGCTGAATATGTGGTTGCCTTAGAGAAGCAGTATGGCTTAGGAACTTCCTAATGGATCTAGGTGTGGTTCCATGAGTTCAATCGTTTATTACACTTTATTGTGATAATAGTGGGGTGGTTGCAAACTCGAAGGAGCCACGGAGACATAAAAGGGCAAAACACATTGAGCGGAAGTATCACTTGATACAAGACATAGTTCAGAGGGGTGATGTGGGGGTGATGAAGATTGCATCGGAAAACAACTTAGTTGATCCTTTTAAAAAGAACTTACTAGCAAAGACTTTTGATAGTCATGTAGAAGACATAGTTCAAAGGGGTGATGTGGGGGTGATGAAGATTGCATCGGAAAACAACTTAGTTGATCCTTTTAAAAAGGGGTGATGAAGATTGCATCGGAAAACAACTTAGTTGATCCTTTTAAAAAGAACTTACTAGCAAAGACTTTTGATAGTCATGTAGAAGACATAGTTCAAAGGGGTGATGTGGGGGTGATGAAGATTGCATCGGAAAACAACCTAGCTGATCCTTTTAAAAAGAATTTACCAGCAAAGACTTTTGATAGTCATGTAGAAAGAGTGTGAGTTAAAATAATAGATGCATGGTTATGCGTTTAAGTGGGAGATTGATAGAGATATACTATTAACCATTAAAATGTAATAGTATAGTTTTGATGTTTTTTTTGAACAATTATTTCTATGTATTTAAATGGAGATTTACATTAAATGAATAATTTTTTCAACATATTTTATAATAATAATGTTAGTACATTTTGTATGCATCTAACTGGACTAAGTAGAAAATGATTGTTCTATACTGACTATTAAAAAACATATTCTCCAGAGATTAGAAATATGATTTATGTTCTTAATCTTGATTTAATTAATATGATCAAATTTACATTGTTTTGTGCTTTAATTCATTAAAGAGTGAGTTTCATTTATCGGGACAATAATTCTCAGTGAATTGGGCAAAGACAACTTATATTTGTGAAATATTGAATATTGATTAATGATAGAATCCATGTCTCGATTTAGAGAATAATGATGCACTTTAAGTAAGCTTATAAGGTTTCATTGTGTAAACCTTGCAGATAGATTTTTAATCCGACACACGAAGTAAGTTAAGTGACAGTCTTAAAGATTAAAATTGTTATTTAAATAAATTGTCAGTGATTTATTTTGTTTGATAAGCATCTGTAATTTTTACATGGGGAACATAAATTGTTATGTTATGAAAAGTTAAATTAATAAGGAGGTCAATTATGAATTTTGAGTGGAATAATTTATAATTAAGTGTAATAAGAATATATTGGTCCTGTATAATTCTTATTAATTTATTCCTACGGTCCCTGTTGTGCTTTAATTATTTGGATCGTACGTGGGTTATGTATTTTAAATAATTAATAGATTAATTTTTAATTAAATTTTTATTTATTAATTTTATTAAATTTTTTTATATATTTTAATTAAAAAAGAGATAATCTATTTTATTTAAAATATTAACCACGTGATAACAAAATGATTTAAGTCTTGTCGTTCGCTTTCCACATGGATGAGAGAGGAATTTTGTTTTTGGAATCAGGCCAGATCTTCCTAAATAGGAATAGTAACATTTAGAAGGCAAATATGGAAGGACGAAACTAAAAATTTCATACGTAACCGTACTTTTTTTACCCATCCGAAACTAAATAATTAATAGATTAATTTTTAATTAAATTTTTATTTATTAATTTTAATTAAAAAAGAGATAATCTATTTTATTTAAAATATTAACCACGTAGATAACAAAATGATTTAATCTTGTCGTTCGCTTTCCACATGGATGAGAGAGGATATTTGTTTTTGAATACCATCTTCCTATAGAATAGTATTTAGAGGAAAAGGAAGGACGAACTAAAAATTCATACGTACCGTACTTTTTTACCCATCCAGAAAACTAAAATCCATAGAGTCAATTAAAGTCACACAATATAAGACTATAGAGTGACTTGAAGAATTTTAAAAAGAAGACCGGTGAGCGATTATTCGCCACAACAGGTCAGTTCTTGTATGATTTGTGGTTTTGATTTGTTTTTATACTTGTTTCGATACTGGTTTGCTTCCGCTGCATAATTCTCGACTCCCATCATATTTTAATATCATATATATTTAATTATTTTTAAATATGTAGATTTATATTTTTTTTAAAATCTTAAATAATCAATTAATTTTCGAATAAAATTAGAGTGAATTATTGTTCCTATTTAAGATGTTACCTAAAATACTTTCAATTATTTTCTTATTTTTTTTTATAATAATAATACTTTTCCAAACAATATATAATCACACGCGCGCGCCAGACTACATACTAGTGTAGACCATAAGTGAAGAGACGTGAAATAGGCTGGGCTGAATAAATTCACTAAGAAGCTTAAGGATCAAACACAAAAATTAGAAAAACGGAGGAAATTATTTACATGCAGGAAGAGAGGAGGTCTATTTATTAAGGAGGTCTAAGCTAACTGAACCAGCCAGCCAAAATTAGGGAGGAAATTGGCTAAAAAGTTAATTTTTGGGCAATTTTAAATATTTGGTCGAAGTTTAGGGGCAATCCGAGCCTCTTTCCAAAATGAAAAAAGTGGAGACCAACTAATAACAAACAAGCCCTAAAACCTCTAAAACCTCAAAACTGCAAAGGCGCACCCAAAACCCCTTTCTATCTTTCTGTCTCACTTCCTGAGTTTTTTCCGTGCATATTCAAGTTTATCCTGTCCATGCTTTTTCAGTAGCCAAATCGACATAAAATGAAAGCATTGATAACATTGCGAACCCTAAAATATTTCACATCAAAACCCCGAAATTCCCAGCCCTTCAAGTCAATTCTTCTCTCTCATTTCTTCTCAGCCGAACCTGAACGTAACGACAGTGAAAACGATAACAGCGATTCAGTCTTTGATAGCAGCCACTATACAATCCCTAATATTGATGCTAATACAACGCCTCAAGAGCTCACTTGGGATGAGAAATACAGACGGAGAGCTGATAAATTGGTGTTTGGAAAAGAAACGCAGAAATCCAAATTGAAAATATTGCGGGAACGAGAGGAGGAAGAGAGGCGGAGAGCGTTAGCCAAAGCGTTGCTCCAAGCGGCACTGCAAAGGCCAGATGATGAGGACGAGGATGAGGTAGTGAGGGAGGAGGACCAGAAATCGCTTTCAGTTGGAATTATCGGCGCACCAAATGCTGGGAAATCGGCTTTGACTAATTTCATGGTTTGTTTCTTTAATTTTTTTTTAAAATTTTTATTTTTAGTTTTTGATTTATGATAATGGGTACTTGACTTATTGCCTCTCTTAATGAATTTCTGAATGTTTTAGATAAGAACTTCCACTACTCGCTGACCTTGAGGTTTCTGGTTGATTTTTAGTGAACTATATTTCTTGAGATAGCTATTTTTTATAATTTTAGGATTTGGAGTTATAATAACTTGATAACAATTTTTTTCTGCAAGTGCTAATATGATTTCTGTTTTGGTTGGATTTATCAGGTTGGAACAAAAGTTTCTGCTGTGTCTCGGAAAACAAATACAACAATTCACGAAGTATTAGGAATTATGACAAAAGGGGAAACCCAAATTGTATGTCTGTTTCAGATTTATCAACTCATTCAATTATCTGCTATGTGAAATTTTAATTATGCCACTTCATTTTGGTGTTCCGAAAGTGCAAACTATTATGACTGAAGCATCATTACATGCAGATCATATGGTTAGCTCAATGGTGAACGTATCATACATGAAAGAGGACAATTTAAAATTTTTGATATTACCATTTTGCCTCTTGGCATTGTGTATATGATGCATCGATATTGTGATGATGAACTCTAATTAATGGTTTATGTGTTGGTATAGACCATTATGTATTGGGTAATAAACCTACCAAAACATGTTTTGGTATTCCATTGCTGGGGATTTGGATTCCCAATGTAATAGCACCGTCATCTGAAAACAATAGTGATTAGGAATTTGAATGTTAGAACCAAGGAATCTGACATTGTTTAATTTATTTCAGTGCTTTCACTTGTAGAGCAACCCTGTTCTCAATATCAGATTGTTTCACTAGTTAGCAGTATAACAGCAATGATATACTTTTTATACACCCCACAGTGTTTCTTTGATACCCCTGGACTTGCGTTAAAGAGCAATGGATATCCTTACAAGGATATGAAGGCTCGTGTGGATAATGCTTGGAGTGCAATTGACTTATATGATGTACTCATGGTTGTTTTCGATGTCCACAGGCATCTTACAAGGTTAGTGATCCATTGCATGCTTGAATGCAGTTAACCTTTGTTATTTATTCATCCATTTTCATTCATTCATTAAGTAATTCATGATAACCTCCCTCAAATTAAAACATTTTAGCCATGCTATTTTTGTGATTATGCTTCCTATTAGTTGATAGAAGATTTTTCTGAAGACAAATAATTTATCTTTGACTATTGGCCTATGGCATTTGTTATTCTCCTGGGGTAAAATAAAATCAAGCAATTGATATTTCCATTGATTTGATTCCAATGAATTCCTTTTCCTTCATTATATAGTTACGATGTTATAGAAATCTTCTCTTAGTTAAGCTAAAATATTTACTATTACTCTATCAGAAAAGGTTGGCCTTATTGTCTCCTGCTTGTATGATATTATTACATTTAGTTTAATTGCTAGATTTTGCATTTTGGAAGTGATAGATCAACTTTTCCCTCGGAGAAATATAACTTTCCTTCAAGATAGCGTAGTGATAAATTTAGGAAAATGGAGATTATATTTAATTATATATGTACTTATTACTTAAGCTTACGTCAGTGCTGTTGAAATTCCTACGATTAGTTGCAAAGAAATTTGTCCTTGTAGTGTATTGGGATATATTTCTATATTTTCCATTGCCACATCTGTCATATGATCCTTTGCCTATAAAATTTGCGATTAAAAAATGTAAGGACCTATTTACTTACAGAAAATAGTTTATTTTTTTCTCACTTGGTTCTGATTTTCTTTTCCTTTTCAAGTTATCATTCTCCATTGAAGAAATGTCTTTAATTTTTTCTCTGTTTCTTCTACCTTTATTGTTTGATAATTGTATTTGGATTAAAAATGTTATGAGGTGGATTATTCATTTAAAGGTGATAGCAGTGGTAGTGATCCTGATGGTTGGTTAATGGTGATGAAAGCTGGTAGGGTGTTTGTAGGCACTGGCATCAGTCGTGGGTAGTGACTGAAATGCCATGCAGTGTGGTGCCATGGGGTGATATATGATGGTGGTAATGGTAGTGGTGCTAATGATGGTGGTATGATAAGGGTGGCAGAAATGGCCACAATCAGCAATGGTGGTAGTGAGAGTGGTGCCAATAGGCAATAATGATTATGTGGTGTGGTAGTGGTGCCAATTGTACAGATATGTTGATATAGACATTGGTGAGAGTAATATAATTGTAGAGGCACCAAGTAGGTGATGGTGGTGTTAATGTACATGTACTTTTCACTTGGACAACATGCAGAGGACAAAAATTACAGAAAACAAGTTATGTAAAGAAAATTACAGAAAACAAGTTCTAGTTGATTTTTTAACATCAGTGTAAATTTGATGGATTTATAAACTTGGGATGAATTCAGTTTCATTGCATTATTCATTTTTCACTAAAAGAATGCGCACCCATTCATTAATCAAGTTGTGATGTCATTTTTGTTATAATTCTTTCCAAACTTTTATTAAAACTTGCTGAGAATAACATAACTACAAATCTTGGTTTCTTTTTTAGCATTGCCTCCTTTTTTTTGATTGCATGTGGGTTCTCTATCTCTTGATTTCAGCAAAAGCACTTGACAGATCTCTATTTCCTTTTCCTTATTATTTTCTGTACAATTTGTGTCTGTCTTCTCTTTTTTTTCTTCTTTCTTCATTCTCAATTTCTGTCTTTTATTTGCAATTTCAATTCTATTTAGCAAAAGAAAAAAAAAAAAAGGGTTCCTCGTTACCCTTTCCCTTTCCTTTGGTTGTTTTTGGAAATGGTTACTTAAGTGGCGATGGATGGGTACTTATAATGATGGATCTTAGGTTGTCATTCTTTATTTTTGATGGTGAGCCTGGTGGTAGTTTTGAATAATATAATGGTGCTGTGTTTGGTTCTATGGAAAGAAATTGTGGCCATTGATTGGTAGTAAGGGGCAACATTTGTAAGGAGGTGAAAACAGGTGAGTAGAGAGAAAATAGAAAGCAGGGAGAAAAAGTAAATATCTTTTTAGGAATATAACAGCAAAATCCAAAAGCCTGCTTTTTGTTTTTAAAAAGGACAACTTGAAGAAACAAAAGTGTAATAAACAACCATACTGTCTACAGATTTTTTTTCCTTTTTTTTTTTTTTTTTTTTTTCCTGGGGGGGGGGGTTTGGGGGTAGTTTTTGAATAATATATGGTGCCTGTGTTTGGTTCCTATGGAAAGAAATTGTGGCCATTGATTGGTAGTAAAGTGGGCAACATTGTTGTCTTTAACAGGAGGTGAATAAATCAGGTGAGTTAGAGAGAAAAATAGAAAGCGGGAGAAAAAGTAAAGTATCTTTTTAGAATATAACGCAAAATGCCAAAAGCCTGCTTTTCCTTGTTTTATTAAAAATGGAGACAACTGAAGAAACAAAAGATGTAATAAACAACCAATAACTGTAATCTCAGCATTTTTTTTCCTTTATTTTTTTTTTTTTTTTTTTGGGGACTACAGATGTTTTGGCAGTTTCTTTATCATTTGCAGCAGTTTTTTTTTTTTTTTTTACATTTCAAACCAACACAAGCTATGAAAACAGCCATAAACTGTAATACATTCTCTTTTAGCCATTTTTTTTCCTTGAATAACTAGAAAGTTGCATGTTTCAAAGCGAGCAGCTTTTTCTTTGATGGCTGAATTTTGTGTATGGCGCTCTGTCTTCTGCAAAGTTTAAATCGTGGCCCTAATGTTTTTTTTTTTGTCCTTTTCTACTCGGCGCGGATAGAAAATCGAAGGTCTTTGGGGTTCAACAACTTACTTCTGTCTTACTTTAGCTTTATTGCTGGAAAAGTTACCATCTTTGAATGGTGAAGGTTTC